TGTCGCTGGACTCCCATGTAGTCAACCACATTTTGAGTCCTGGACCTGGTGGCTTAAACTCACACTGGGCGCGTGTGCGTGCGTGCCCAAGATCTCGAGAGGAGAATGGAGGAGAAGGGATTGCGTCGTGGCCATCCCCCCTGGGGGGTGATTTCCTGCTTTCTATCTCTCTGTCTCTCTCTGTCTGTCTGGCGAGCGCACGCGCCCTATAGCAAAAACCTCTCAAAAAAAAAAAAAAATAGGCTTTGACTTTAGGTTATACTCAGGACTGGTTTCCAGAGAAGTCATATCACTCACGTGATGTGAACAAACTGCTAGGTAATATGTCCTGTGTGGTGAGGCTTTCAGCAGACAAAAAGAAAGCTGCATGGCTTTACACATGACCTTCTGTCCCTCAGTCCTCTGCTCTGAAAAACAAGCAATAGTACTTCACCAAGCTATTGTGAGAATTACTTAGAATAAAATATAAAGGTAGCCACAGTGGGTGTTAAATAAGTGGTGGTGGGGCCAGTAAGTAGCTTGGTGGTGAAGGCACCCAGACCTGGTGGCTTGCCTTCTTGCTTTCCCTCTCTTTCTCTCTCTCTCTCTCTCTCTCTCTCTGGTGAGCACATGTGCCTTATAGCAAATTTTAAAGTAATAATAATAGAGACCAGCAGATGGCAAAGCAGTTATGTGGCTGAACTCTCACATGGCCAACCAAAATTCAAGTCCCATACCTGCTGGCTTGAAAATCACACCAGGTGCATGTGCATGTGTGCCCAACATCCCGGAAGGAGAATGAAGGAGAAGGGATTGCAGTTTGGCTATTCCCCTGGGGAGTGATTTCTCACTTTCCCTCTCTCTGTGTCTGTCTCTCCAGCAAGTCCACACACCCTAAGGCAAAAAACCTCTCAAAATAATAGGGGTCAGCAGGTGGTGTGATGGTTAAGGTGCTGGACCTCCACATGTCAAACTCATGGTTCAAGTCCCAGACCTGGTGGCTTGCTTTCTCAATTTCCCTTTCTTTCTTTCTTCTGTCTCTCTCTGGTGAGCACACATGCCCTATAGCAAATTTAAAAATAATAATAATAAAAATAAATAATTCTTTAAAATAATAAGTGGTAGTATATTCATAATAAATATTACTGAGACTATAAGTATTAAGGTGTGGTGGACAGGTAATAGACTCAGGGCAGCAAAGATGTAGAGGGAGCTCAACTCCAAAAAAGCTCCTCTGAACCCCAGCAATGGGGCCAAACACTCCCCCAGCAGAGGTGTGCGTTGGGGTTGAAGTGCTGACTTTGCTAATGAATTGAGTGCCTCCAGCGAATCATCCCTGGGCTCCTCCCTGCCCTCTGGTTTTGCTCACACCCACAACCAGCCTCTCCTGGAGCAAGACCCCACACAGCTGTCTCCATCCTCTGCCCTCCCTGGGGTCACTGCTGCACCCTAGACTCGGACCCTGCTGCCATCCCTTTCTCCTTCTCCATGCCATCCCCCCAAGTCCTTTGAACCCTCAAATCCCTGCATTTTGCTGTCTCCTGAAATATCCCTGCTTTTTGTTTGGAAACCACCTCTGCACCTTCACGTGGCCAAGTTAGAGGTCTGGCTAAGGCTGAGAAGGAACACATGGCTCTAGGCGCCCAGACTTTTTCTTTCTTACTTTCTTCTTTCTTTCTTTCTTTCTTTCTTTCTTTCTTTCTTTCTTTCTTTCTTTTT